AAGAGATCCTGCGACATGGTCGCTGTGGGGCTGATCCTGTCCCTGGCAAGCCCCAGATGAAACTGTCTGATAGAGCAGCATCCTTTCCCGCCCCACCTCCATTTGTGACTGTCTCTTTAGATCAGGAGCAGATACTAGTTGCTGGCCTTAATTTGACTGTAATATTTGCCAATTATTTTAAGAGATGGTGACACTAACTTCTATTGATCTCATTAAAAGTAAAGGTCGTTGTTCAGCTCATTTCTCAGGGCTCAATATTACCTCCTCAGGACAAAAGAATAGCATCGATTTTGGAACTTTAATCGAAGTTTAATTGGATTGTAGAGTGTGTTGGGTTTTTGTTTTCTTTTGTAGTTATTATTGTGGCCATATTCTAAGGGTTTGTTTAATCCTGCTAGTGCAATGTGCCCAATTAAACTAGTGTCAAATTAGCAAAAGATGCACAATGAGCAAAGCCACAACTTGGAGCCTGCTCTGTGCCTCTGCTCTGAAATGGCCCTTCTCCATAGCAGATAAGCATGGTCACGCACAGCAGATCCAATTTCACACTTTGCCCTCTATGATCCAGTTGTGAGGATCAAAACGCAGTGCTCTGTAATGCAGCACTATCGCTAGGCACTGATCTAGCATCACACCAAGGTGATGTCTGGACACATAAGATGCAAGAGTAGTTCTTAGGACTCCTGGAGTACACTCCTAGCATGCCCCATACCCACTGTTGGGGCCTGAGGAAATTATTTTCCTGCTCAATGCCCCATCTTCCATGTCATTTAAGTGGGGAGAAATATTCTGACTCATCTGCCCAGGGAAATGAGAGATTGACTTGAGAAGTTTCTACAAATTCTCAAAAGGAAACAACCACTTATTATTTATTTTATTATTCTTTTTCTAACTCTATCAGGGATGAAATGAATGTGGGGATCATTTTCCCTTGGCCTTAAATGCAGTCATATTTCCTTGGATTTAGTGTAAAGCATCATGGTGAGATTCTTGAGCAATTGATTGACACTGATGCCTGAGACTGACTTTCAATAAGAAAAGAGTCTGTGTCTAATTTAACTCTTTATTTGGTGACTTTGCGTAGCTTAGGAGCTGGAAATTCTAGACATCATCCTTGCTCACCAGTGCCTTGTGAATTTTCATTAAGCTTCAAGTAAGAGGAAATATAGGAGAATCTGTAAATAAACTGCTCTCCTGACTAAATCAGGAGGTGCAAAGAGCAAAAATAGCCATTTTCTCCAGGAAGAGTGTTCTTTTCCATGCTCCATTTCAGCTAACACTTCAGTTTTATAAGCACAAATGCTTGAGACATGAGAGGTTTCAACACCTGCAACAACAGAGAAGGGATCCCACCCTGGGAAATCCCACTTAAGTTTTAGCAGCTCCCAGGCCTTGTGCTGACTCTCAGAATCCCACACTGGAAACACATCTCAAGACACAAAGTTGTAATTGTCAGAAGGTAGCTGGGTTCTTTATCAAGCTAAGAGGAGGGCAAAGAGATATTGTTCCGCTGTGGGTCTCGTTTAGTAACAGAAGGAAGCAAAAAGCTTAGAATAGGACAAGGTGATGGAGGGCCTTAGTTGCACACAGTAGCTCATCTTAGACACCTTAGCAGTTTGCTTTCACTTCTCAATTGGACAAAATACTTTCCTGAGTTCTGAACCATTCACAGCCCATGACCCAGGCTCTTAGTGAGCTGAAGCCCACAGCACTATTTCCCTGACTCATACTCAGACCAGGATGATCAAAGTGGGAACTGTTCACTCGGCTGACTGAGCTGGGTTGGTTAGTTGGAGGCACCACAGCACGTGCCACGAGTGAGCATATCGGTAAGCCCCATAGCTCCCACAGCCTGCTGATCCAGCAGCCTCCACAGGGATGAGCAGAGCATCCACCAGGAGGGACAGGGAGGACCGATGCAGCATATCAGAGAAAATGTTAAGACTGGTATATGGACAAGGTCTCTCTAAATGGATCAGTTAAAATCGGAATGGGTGCAGTGGGGGCATCTCTGGCATTTGGGATCCTCTTTAGAAGTCCATGTGCTAAGTAGCCTTGCCCTTCTTCTTTCCTCCCCCTTGTACTCAGTGTGCTATAAACATCTCGAGAGCCCCTCAGTCTTCACTTCTCCTCCCTTCCCTGCTCCCCTCTCCTCCAAACGTATCTTTCCAAAAAAGGCTACAAGTGATCCTGTAACTTGAAACAGGAACAGCCTGGTTTCCAGGTGGCCCTTTTCTTAACCCTTCCATGGCCTTGTCTTCCTCAAAATTCACTGCCAGCTCTCTCTTTTTTTTTTTTTTTTTTAAAATAACTCCCTTCTCCAGGCTACATTCTCATCCTCAGCTACACTTGCACATGAATAAGTAACTGTTCCACAGGCAGATATTTCAGTGTTTGCACTTGTCTTTGGAAATCAAAGCCTTCTCTGATTAAATGCCATTACAGTCCAGCACTAGGACGGATACAGAGAGATTAATGTGCTTTTGGGCAGCTTTAATGATAATCCCGCTACAGATGGTATTAAGTAAATGTCAGTAACCTGGTTTGAAGGGAGCTTTCACCTCAGGGATCCTTTCCATTTAGAGGAGAGAGGCTCAGCTTGCTTTTCAAGGCTGCATTGTCACACAAGAGAAATCCTGCTTAGTGAAGACTCCTCTTCCTCCGCCCAGTAAAACAAAATGGGGTAATATGATAGAGGGATTGATAGACAGATAGATACATTGAGGTGATTTATAGGGAGTTAACGCAGCTCTTGAAAGCCAGAACTGCTGTATATTGTAAGTCATGTCATAGTTTTGAAACCTGGGTTGCAACCCCCTCCTCAGGTTCCTTTTGCTGTCTGTTGCCTTTTCCTCACTTTGCCACCATGCCATGCAGTTCCTTACCTTGGGCATCAACAGCAGCAGCCAACAACGGACCTTGGTCATATTTGTCCCCATCTGCTGCACCTTGCCAGAGGAGTAGTCTGGAGTGCGCACTGCTCCTACCTCATCTTGCTGTGGCCCTAACAGACCTTGTTCCCCACCACATGATTCTGTAAGTCTCAGTACCCAGTGTTTTGTACTGCTATTTTACTAGCAACCAGTAACAGTTAATCATTAATTACAGGGGGGTAACAGAGAGAAAAGGAAGAAAGGACAGCTCAGTTCAGGCACTGAGACAGTTTGCAGAAATATCTAGTCCTGAGCTGCAGTAACATCCTATACCTGCCAGGTTGCCAGAAACCTGTGAGGTTTATCTTTTGCAGTAGTAAAGCTTTGTTGATAACTTCTTTTTAAATTACATCTTAGCCATCATTTGGGGACTGGCTCACAATCAGCACAATAAGCTATTTCACTGCTGCATGGAATCTGTTGTGCCAAGATGTAGCATAACAACCTTCCTAAGGGGGTGGATGAAAAAAAACAGAGCTGAATTTTCATCCTAAACCTCTCCTCCCATGAGCAAAAGCTTCTGCAAGCTAGAAAAACCACAATTTGCTGCTTCTCTACTTTATTTTGTCACCTACTAGCACCAAAATATCCCATTAAAAGGTTGCAGTCATTGAGTTTTCCACCCTGACTGGCTGGAAAGAACCCTGAAGGACTGTAAAGACTGTATTTCCCTGGGCTTTTCCAGACAACTTTACTGTCTCCAGCAGTTTGTCAACATCCAGAGAAGCAACCAAAATACTGGAGAGCTACACTGTCCTGACTATCTAGATCTCTGAACGGAAATGGACTCCAAGAACTCTGAGGAAGCCCAGCTCAAAACCTGAATGTAAATATTACTCATGAGCCCTTCTGCTAATGCATGAAATCATGCCTTTCTGACTGACTTATTCAAGACTTGAGTTTTGTATCTCAATGCTATATGGAGGCAGCTGAAAAGACAGACAATGTTCTCTCCTTATGTGACATACCAAACTCACATTTCCTCTCCCCAAGAGGTCTTTGTCATGCCTTTAAGTGATGCCACATGAACTTTGTCATGGATAGAAAGGGAGTGGAGAGGAGAGAGAGCAGGGAGAAAGGACATGTTCAGACTTCAGAGTAAAGCAGATGGATGGATGAAGTACAATTGATTTTATGCCGTAGCTCTTTGATAGCCAGTCAGCCAAGTGCAGCTCTGAGGCTCTTCAATAGGGCACAGGGGGGAAGGCAAGCAGCACTGTCTCAATCAGCACTCACTGCCCAGGAGAGGTGGCTTGACACATTGTTTAAATGGCTCAAAACCTTTTCCCCAAGTATCTTCTCACCCCTTCTGGGAGGTGATACCTTCCCTTCCTCAAGAATCTCTCAGCCACAGAGAATCTAAAGTGTTCCTGCAACTTCATGCCACACAGAAATTATCTCACTCATCAGGGAAACGTAGCCTCTGCAGGGACGGAATCTGGCAGCTGTGTAATGAAGGACTGCAAAACTACATGGTAATACAGGACCAGGAAGCAAAGAAGAAAAGTGTATCCACTTGTATTCAGAAGAAAGATGGAGATTTTGGACAGCAGAAGAGAATAGCCCAGGTTAGAATACATGCAACACACCGTGGCTGACGCTCCAGCACTCTAATAACTGCCATCATAGAGGCCTCTGATTTGTATCTCCTTCATAAGGCAATAGCTCTTGAGATTGAAAAGCTAAACCCCATGCATTTCCCCAGGAGAAAAATAACGCTGAAGAAAGAGAGTGGAAGGAGATGGACAAAGAGAATCAGAGGCTAAAACTGTTCCTTTAGGACACCAGGAACTGCCATCTTGGAACTAACCATGGGTATATGTAATATAAGGGCACTGCCATCACTCACTATCTGTATCCTCGAAGATCTGTCCAGCTCTGCAATCTTACAGGAGAGCCTTCCCAAAAAGGGGCTATGTACCTAAGCACGAGAACTGAGAGCACTCAGATTGACTGCTCCGTTCATATCTGCATGTGCATGTCCGCCCCTTCCTGCCCTGTCAGCCTGCGTCCAAATGAGATTTGCGCTGCCCACCATGCCCAGTTCAGAGATGGCTGAGAAACTACCTCATTGACGTCGATGCCATTCCTCTTCATGTAGGCCCTGTCATTCACCTGTCCCCCTTCCATAAACTCCATGAGGAGTACACGCCTTGTCGAGAGTTCCCAGTAGATCCTGGGCACCTGAAACAGGAAAGCAAGATGCAGGTCAAACAATAGGTTGGGAAACAAAGGAGAAATCATCACACGTGACCCAGGAAAAAGAGTAAAAAGGAGCATTCTAATAGAGGTGGAAGTGAAGACTTGGGTATTTTTCTTGAGGAAAATCCAACTATTGGTGCTGAAGCCTGCAGGCCTCTCCCCTAGAAGAGCAGCAGTGCGTGCAGAGACAATACACTGACATAACAGCAGCAGGAACTGGGCTCATGCAACATCTCAGAGGCCCCACTTTACAAGACTTTGACCACTTCTCACTTCCACTGATGTCTGAGAGCTTTCTTCCGCAGATCCTGTAGCTGGGCTGTTTAACTAGTACCCATTGGAAGTTTCTGAATCATCCACTCAGCTCCTTTAGACAGGAACCGCATCTCCTGTTTGCGACGCACAGGGCCCACTTACACAGCTCTAAAAATGATAAGCCATCGTCATAAATTGTATCTCAGCAGTAGCTCCTTGGAACACAAATGCGTTTGAGCTGACAAACCCTGCATACTTAGGCCATCTGCAACTGAACCGGGAGAAAAATCAAGTGTCACAAATAAGGGGCTTGTCATAGAAACCCTGGGAGACCCTTAAGTATCTTATTGCCAATGTGACACAGTAACAAGTGTAAAACGTCAAAGCACTTTTCATTCAATCTACAGTAAATCAAGCTGAGTAAGGAATAAGTAAGAGGCCCAGTGTCACAGAGGGAGGCAGTGATGCAGCATAAGAGCTGCCTTAACCCAGGCTGGCTCCCTCTTTTTCAGCCTGTCTCCGGCCAAATTCCTTCCGTGCTGAAGTTCCTACTGTCAAAGCAGTCATTTTGCTAAAGCTCCTTTGTAATGTTTGTCACATCATGGTGCTGACAGATCTCTCAAGCTGTCCAGATTCACCTTCACTCACAGGTGAAGCCACACATGTACACATTACCAAGGACCTCAGGGAGCTCCAGCTATTCCCATTAGCGTGGCCTGGTACAGCATATACACGTTTTGGATCCTGTGAAGAGAGAGACAGCTGTGCAGCCCACTCTCCTCACCTGATCCGGCCATGGATTCAAGATTCACATTTTGCAAGGGTCCAGCACATTCGGGCAGGTCAGGAAGAGGTAAGGGATGTTGTCCATCCAGCACAACCAAAGCCAGGGGAACCAGCCAGGCACTGTAGGTCTCACAACTCCACAAGCAGCTGCATTTTTGTTTATACTCTAGAACTTGCAACTACTGACAGTGTCTCAGCCCCTCACAGCCAAATGCCTCAGGCCCCTCAGAGCCTCTCAAACCATCTGCCACCCATTTTCCCAAAGCCTCTCACTTCTTCCTTACCGTGCATGTGCCACTTTAGATCAAAGACTCCTTTGCTGATTAGTTCCTACAGCCCTCAGTCCTGCCATTCAACGCTCCTGGACACTTTGCATTTTAACCTGTGTGTTTGATGCTAAGGCTCCGCTATGCGCAAGGGCAATTCAGTTACCTGCAGCTTTCCCAGCTAATCTGGATTTCCACTCTTTGCAAAGTTAGATGGGTGAGAAATTGAACCACCTCCAAAACTCACAGTTCCACAGCCCTCTTAGCTCCTGTGGACTGCCTCCTAGACTTGCTGATCCCTGCAGCCATAGATCATTTCAGCTGACACTCGTTCCTATCTCAAGATTTACAGGGGCAAGTCAGTGGGCTTACAAAGCACTGCACATGCTCCTAGAGATGCCTCTCTCACCCACAGGTGAATTCTTTGGTGATTTTTTTTAATTACTCACAGATGTTTGGCTGCTATGCAAGTGCATGGAAACAATTTATCTCTGGCTTTAAAAGCTCAACCGGGTTCACAGCACAAAATCCACTTCTCAGCTTTCTTGCGTGTGTAGGAAAATTAATGATACAAGAGCCCAATTCTTCTGTTGCCTTTGGGTGATGAACACGTCTCTGAATTGGCAGGTCAGACGGAAGAATCCATTATTTAGCCATCTCAAGCCATTTGTTATTGTTACACATATTGATATCATGATTGCTCCTTAACCCAGCAAGGAGATGATTGGCTGTCTCCATGGGGATTTGCTTCACAGTATCCTAGTTACAGCTGCAATGGATACAGCTCTCCAAGGTGCATCACTTTTGATAAGCGTCCACTCAACAGAATCATTGGCCTTTTGGCTTTCTGTTGCCCTGCTGGCCTTTAGCCATCTGTGTTTATGGAAAGGCCACTGGTGCCACTGGGCTGCAAAAGGACTGTCCCAAACCTGGAGCTAGGTGACAAGAAATTATGACGCTTGCATGGAGGATCCAGGGAGAAAAGGGATGCACCAGTCTGCAAAGTCTAACGAAAACTCACCTGATTTCAGACATCTATCACTTTCATCTTGGGACTTTTTGCATAAACAGGAAGTGAAGATGTCATTTTGATGTGTGAATGCAGGAGGGTACACAGGAGGGTGCATTTTTTGCTGCCTTTGTGTATGTGCAAATGCAGCTATGTCAGTGACTGTGCCAACAGCACTGTGTGTGCTTGATCACGCTTATGCATTTCCAGAATGCACACAGCGGAGGCTTGCACCTGTTGTGTGTATGTCCACAAAAGACATGCACATGTGAGTTTGAAGCTGTGCATACATGCTGCAGAGAAGGCAATGTGTACACGTGTGGTTGTACTTGAGACATTCGTCAGTGAACTCTGCTAGTGTGTGGCAGGGGAGGAAGGCAAGTGTATCAGTCGGGGAAGATCAACATTTGAGTGCAACTGAGTGTTTGTAGGAGGGGTAACATGAATGCATTAGTCATGGACATTAGTCATGTATATGCAAGAACATAAACTTACTTCCAGAGTAAGAACGTGCTTTTTTATTTTTTTTGCAGGAGGGAAGATTTTTAGGAATATACTTCCTCCATATACTTCCTCCATATATATATGAAGAGTGTGCCAAATCCTACTTGACATGAAATGTGAAGAGTGTGCCAAATCCTACTTGACATCATCAGCTTCAGTCCAGCTTTTCTATTTTATGCCCATTTCTTGCCCTCAGTTGAGATAAAGCCCAGGAAAAGGTACCATCACATGGCTCAGCAAAGAATGGCAAATACACAGGACTCTGGATAAGGTCTGAGGAAATGAGTAGCAGATTTGAGAAACTGCTGGCCTCAAGCCACCACTCCTCATCCAATACATGATGCCTACAGCAGGGAGCAGACAAGGAGGGAGTTTCTGCCCATATCAGTTTCTGACCCATATGAGCAGTCTAGGCTGAATAGCACAAATGGACTGAACCCCACTCTCTCTCTGTGTGGTTCTTTCAGGTGATGAATGAGGTGCATCAGGAGCATAAAGTAAGACTATTAACGTGCATACGTGCACAGGAACATGTGTTCCCTCACCTTTAGAAAGTCAAAGTCCTTGAGCATATGAGCTACTTTCTCAGCATTTCTGCCCTCATTGAGGAAATCCAGCTCCAACGGCAGATTCTTCTTAGCTTCTTCCACCAGCCACATGAACTCAAAATCTGGAAAGATCTGCTTCACAACCAAGAGGAGAACCTGAAATGAAGGAAACAAGTAGTTAGCCACACCCTAGCTCCAAAGCCACACAGGTATACACAGTGCTGTGCTGGCAGCTATACAAGGCAGACACTGTTTTGGTAGGACCATTCCATGTAACTTGAAGACAAAAAGAACTCAACCTGTACCCCAAGAGCTTGTGAGGTTCCTGCAACATCATGATAAAACACATGGTTCTGTGCCTTGGCCTTGCAATACAATTTTTGGCTTGCCCCTCCACGCAGACACGTCCAAGAGGTAACTGGAAGAACAGATACCAAAAGGCAGTGCTGGCAGCCCACCTGCCCAGGGCCTCAAATTGACAGAATAAAGCCCTGGAGAAATGACGATGCTGAGGGGATGGCCTAAGAGTAACTCTCTTCTGTGTCTCTAACTCCTGTAATTCAATAAGTCGCTGTTCAGTTTCTTTCAAATAGCCTTCAAATAACATGGAAGAGGAAGATCTAAAATAAGGCTTGTCATCATTACATTACTTCTTCCACCACTGAGCAAGAATTTTGCTAGCACAGGAAAATCCACTGAGCAGTTCAGAGAAGACAGTGAGGTTCAGCCACAGGTAGAAGGCTCTGGACCTTTGAAAGACACTTCTGGTGGGGGCAAAAAGCCAGCTGCCTTTCAGTGTGACTCACAGCCATGCTCAGCTGCCCTGAGTGGTGTTTTCTAAATATAGAAACATGGCACTGTAATGCTATAACCTGGCACCCTCTTCTCCTTCAAGGGATTAGGCGTTTAGCCCAACAGGGTCTTGAGAAGCCCGGCTGAAAAGTTCAGAGAAATGTTTCTTTACAGCAGCATTTAACAAAGGGGTAGGCGACGGGCAGTCCTTCCTGGAGAAAATCAAGATTATGTGATTGGGTGACATAATCAAAGCTGCACAGCAGCCAAGCATGCCTTCTGTTCAAATGAAGGGCCAGATTCTCAACTGGTGTCACAAAAATGCACTAGCTGAAAATCTGTATCTCTTCTTACAGAAACAAAATTTTTTTTTAACTGCTTGAGTTATAAAACAAGAATAAAACATAAAAATCCAATCCATTTTGTGGTGTTTGTCTTACTTGTTCTGCACATCCATTTGAAAATGAAAACAGTATTGCCACTGTGTGTTACTAGACATCTTTCTAGATTGCCACCTTTGAGATGGGGATTCCTGCACTGCAGGAAAAACATTTAAAACACACATACACACACACAGAGAAAGCTGTTATCATTGAAATGTATGACAAAAAATAAATTCATGAACTGTCACTGCCTCCTGTTCAGCTACTTGAAAACATTTATTCTCCACTCCATCTCTTCTTCTCTTATCTAAATGTCAGTTCCAAACCCAATGTTCCTTTAAAAATGCAGTCATCAGGTTCCAGACACTATTGAATGATTTTTCTCCTATTACATCTCGAGCCATAAATCCTTTCAAAATTATGTCACCCAAATTAAATGTAACCAGTGATTTTCATGAACATGTACGTAAACCTCTTAGGGCTGCAGGATTATTTCATTGGTGCTTGATGTGAGAAAACTCATACTTTTTTTCTGCTTTCTTTACATGTTCTTTTGAATCAGTTTGCCACCTTAAACATCAGCAGGGACATACTTAACGACTATTTGGCCTGTCCCTTTTCTGACACCTGTCTAAAATACTGTCCTGAAATAAATATTGATATAAGAAGAGCAGGGAGGGATCTCTCTCTAGAGGTACTGGGTGCTGTTCTGACTTTTAAGGAGTCAGCGCTGATGGTATGAAACCTCAAGTAAAATTAAGATTTTTCGTCTAGCTTTTCCCATTCAGACTCCTCCCACTAGCCTTTGAAGAGCACCACTTCAATCAATAATTAAATTAACCTCCTACCTGGAATGTCTATTTGGTTCTTAAAGGACCAGAAGCTCAGTGGACATAATCTGTCTTTAAATGCAGTCTACACAAAAATAGCACCACACAAGGATACAGTGATGCATATAAGCCAACACTCCACAAGAGACCCTTTAAAAACAAGACAGCATGTGTCATGTTTGTAAGCTACTTTCCTGTAACTGTGTGTACTCTGACAAACTAGACTGCAAAGGAAGGAAAATAATACATTGCCAAAAGGAGATACACTGTTCCGGTTTCAAGTTTCCCACCAGGACTCTTCTAAAAATAGAAAGGGCAGGAATCATTGTAAAATTATTTGTTTAAATGTCTTTTAACAATATAGCCAGCAATCACAGTAACATGGAAGGGGGAGGGGGCTTCCTTGTGACACTCACTGTTAAAAGGGCAAAAATCACAAGAAAAATCTGGATCTTGGCTCATTCATTCACAATCCTTTTTTTGCCCTGGTCTCACAGTCTGTCATCACCTTTGCTCAACGTCCTTCCTTGACTGCTCAGTTTCTGCTGTCTTGGCCTGAGCAAGACTGAAGGATGTCGTAAGCCTGCTGAGAACTGCTGTACATGTGATGACCTGTGTGACTACATAAAAGCAAAATCATCACACAGACCACCACAATCAATCCTGGAAAGGACCTGAATCAAATCCAAACCTACAGCTGCACCCAGAGCCAATTCAAACAGTTATCTATTCACAAATCAGAACTGAAACAGAAATGCTACTGGGATATCTTTGCTGAATCCCAAAATATATTTGACTACTGATTCAAAATAACTGTTCAGCTAAAAAATGATGTGCTCTAGCTGGGAATCCTTCAGTACTGGGATTGCTTGTACCTGACCCGGTCTATAGTGAAGTATCATGTCATTGCCTCCCCTACCACAGCAACACAAACTCCTGGGAGGCTGTCCTGCTTTGCAGACTGGCCAGGAATACTCAGAGCAAGTAGTTTTAGCTGCCTAAAGGAGCTCTATTTACATGCTCCTCTGAAAGGGGGCTGGCAGGATCATTGGTATCTTTATCCCCTGTAATGGAGAGCCGTGTTTCACTGCATCAGCAGGACCCTCCAAAAGCTTATCAGACCTCCTGAGTGTGATCTTCCCCTCTTTATTCCCATGGACATTCTTGTTTGCCAAAGGATGTGTATATTACTGTATATTGGTGCTATACATACAGATACAGGCTTACTAAGAGGACTAAAAGCGTTACTATTTACAGACCTAATACTTCTCCTCTCCTCCACCTCAGCCCAATCTCTTTATTTCCTGTTCCCTTGCCCCTACCAATGCAGGGCAGTGCTAGAGCTTTTCTCCTGCTCCTCTCTCCCATATGCTAGATTTCAGAAGTTTGGGAGAAGCTACAGCACTGCACTAGGAACATGAGTGGTACTCACCATCCAGGATAGGAACAGGAGACAGGCACTGAAACTTTTTCCCAGATGAATCACTCGTTTGCTTGTCTGTCCCTGTCACATAACCCTCTCCATATTTCAGCATCCTTTTTTCCAGTATGAAACAGCTCAGCAGTAAGGAACTGATCAAGAACCAAAATGGTATCACAGCAACTTCAGCCGCTGCTGAATCCATATTGGAACTAAACTGAAAAACATGCTGATCTTGGGGAATAATTCTTCCTCGATCACACAGCTCTGACTGGAAGGGGAGCTGAGATCAGTTAAATCCAACAGTTAATGGGCATACGGCCAGCAGACAGACTTCAGGACTCTATATGGACTTACTCTTACGTCTCTCATATTTAGTTCTCTCTCTTGTCCTCCTCTACTCTCACCTTCTTGCTTTCTTGTCTCTCCACCCCTGCAGCTCTCCATTCCAGTCTCTCCAATCACACATCCCTCCCCCACTGCAAACCTCACCAATTTTCTTTATTATTCTTGCAAGCCAGCATTTATCTCTGGGGAGGTTTCAAGGCTACAGGATCCAGGTCACTGTGACCAGATGTCAGTGTTATTATGCCTGCTTACACCATGGGTGAATGCGGCCCCCAACTTGTTGGCATGGCAATTACTCTGTAAGTCAAAGTCATCAGGTAGTTTTACCTCCATCAGCAAAATATCCTTGGAGCTCTGAGCTTGGACCTTTGGGTGCTGGACTTTCACCGCCACTGTCCTTCCATCCTGCAGCACTGCCTTGTGTACCTGGGCTAGTGATGCTGCTCCCAAGGGAGTGTCCTCAAAACTCGCAAAGAGCTCTTTGATCTGTCAGAAGAAAAAGAGGTGTCAGCTTAGAGTCCCAGAGATTGTCCTAAGGAAACCCCTGCTCACAGGCCAGGGACAACATATGCCAAAGCTGGGCAGGCGAGGCCCTTCCATCCTTCCCCTGTCCCCCTCTCTGAGCCTTGTCACTGCTTGGCCTCCTAGTGAAGCCTGCCACGCATGGAAGTGCCCTGGAGATACTGTGGTTATAGAAATCTGTGACAGAGAGCCAACAGCACATTTCATCTGGGATGTGAAGCAGCCAGACAGCACGTGAGTTGCCCCTCCAGGCTGCCCTGATGCCTGGTGGAGCAGTTATGGTCAGCACTCCTGGCTGTTTACTGGGTGCAGCTGATAGCTGACCCTTTCCATGCAATTCTATTGCACGTTTTTAATGCCACCCACCATCACCTCCTGAACACCTGACAGTGTATAGTCTCCTGCAGTACAGCATCAGCCAGCTCACTTGGTGAAAGCCAATACATGACTGGGAGCAACGGTGAGGGCTGGATTGCCTGAGGGGTGTCTAGAATTGCAGTTGGCGCTTCTAGAGCCTTGGCCTGAAAACATGTTTCACGTGATGGGCTTTCTCACTCCTTGAGTGAGGGTGACCAGTATATTCAGCTTAGAAAAAGCACCAGCTGGATATAGCATAGCACTTTGTGAGCAGGAGAGGGAAGCATTAGCAGCCCTGGGTGTGAAACTGAGGACTAGACTACAGGGAAAGCTGCAGATCAGGAAGAAGATTCATCAGGGGGATGCCCAGGGAACACAACCTAGATAGACTTGGCAGAGGTGATGGGAGATGGTCAAAAGCAAGTCTGCTCTGCATAGCGTAGTACCTCGCTAAAGACGCTCTGTGCAGCCCCAGGCAGCTTGGGTCCTGGGAATACTATAACCACAGCAGTGTGATATCACCCCAGCTAATTAGCCAGGCCTCTCAGCATAGCTAATTAGCTCAAAGGCACTGCCAACACAGCAGTGTTGCTTTGGCACGGAGCTAGTGCACATAACACTACTCGAGGGACTTCTCTTCTACTCTCCAGAGCATGGTGCAGGCAAGCTCTGGGTACCCAGAAAAGGCAAAAGGGGAACCTGTCCCACCCTTCTCCCTCAGTTGTATCAATTTCAGGGGAGCAACTGAGAAACCTGTACCTTATGCAGCAACAAACAAGAAAGAAAGTCAGTGCATTTTTATAAACTGATTTTTAAAAGGTAATTCAGGATGAGAGTTGCAGCGAGCTAGTAATTAAATATGAATAAAGCCCTTCTAAGCTGAGCCTTCATGCAAAGCATTAAACAAATATTCTTTTTGCTGACAGGGAGGAAAAATACTATACAAGGAGAAGCCCGTTCCCTCCTGCAGCTGCCAAGCAATGTGCCCCCTCCCACTCCACCCTACCCCTTCCCTCCTAGTCCGTTCCACACAGAACTATTACTACAACCAACTGGAGCATTTGCAGCAATTAGATTCCAAGAGAGACTCAGCTGCCTCCAGTAATTCACTACCATGGTGCCTTTTATTTATTTATTTAATTCAATTTGGTCCTGACAGCAAAATCAATTAGGTAAAACAACTGCATTTAAAAATGACTAGTTATGTGTTTTTTAATTACAGCAGGTCCATGATTCAAACCTATTGACATTCCTGTCTCAAGAGAAAAAAATCAAAGTTTTTCTCTCTTCCCCTTCTCTCTTTCTTTCCTCTTTTCTCAGTTCACTTGACTTGGAGATTCTGTTTTCAGATTAATATAAAGGAAGAAACACTTGTAGGATGACAGATGGTTCAGAGGACATGTGTTCAAGGCACAGGGACTTTTACCTTCACGTGACGTTTGTTACATGACGAGAGAACCTGTTAAGGTGGCCAGGAGCATGCTGGGCTACACAGTCCCATAAGGAAAGGGAATTTGCAAACAGAGAACTTGCCACATGAGGTCAACCCGGGGCTCTCTTCATCTCCTCTACTGCCCTACATTATCGTATTATAGGGCAGGTCTGTAGAGACCAACGTACCAGCCAAAATTGCGGGCAGGTCTGTAGAGACCAACGTACCAGCCAAAATTGCTACACTACCCATTGTAAGGGTGGTAACCTCCTCCAATGGTCAAAGCACAGGGTTGGGAGTTCAGTAGCCTGAGTTCTCTGTAAGGTACATTTACAGTAAGGTAGCATATAAATGGGATGAACTCCACCTGCTTTGTGATTGCAAAAGCTTTTAATTGCCTACACTGTTAATTCAACCATTTTCACCAGCACTGAACGCATGCAGGAAAAAAAAAAAAGTTACACATATTCCTTCTGGCAGGAATAATACATATAATACTCTTTTTGTGGCTAAGTTTGCTCAGGAAACATCATCTGAGAAAAGCTGTCTCTTGAAAATCTCTTAGGCAGACAGATTTCATTTTAAAACTTGTTAATCAGGACAAGGAAGCCAGGATAGAGGTCATGGCAACTGGAGCTAGTCCAGTAGTCCTGCTAGAATTCAAAGGGGAATCTGTGCATACCCACAGGCTCCAGGCTAGGACAGTAAGGGCAAGGACTGCAACAGGGCCAGAGAATTGATGGCCTCTCAAGGGGCAGAAGGATAGAGTGCGCATACGGGGGAGGGAGCACATCACAGTCGGGCCATTACGTGAGCAGGTGTGCGGCTGAGATAAAGCAGCAGCACCATTACCACTAAGCTCCAGGACCCCCACTTAACATATCACCCTCATTCATTATGAAATTGTGCTTTTGCAGCAAGCTGGAGGCAGCTAGCGCTCCTGCCAGTGCAAGGGCTGCTCAGATCGCGTGTCCCAGAGAGGCAAAAGTGAGTAAGAGACTGTCTGACACGGAAGCAGCCTGCCCTGCGGCAAGGGGGTGAGCCAGGCCCCCCGGCACTGCCTGTCAGAGAGGAAGGATCCAAGCTGTTCTTCCCAAGGGGAGGCCACTGCACCCATTTCAAAGAGGCAAGGAGTTCTTGGAGGAGTCCTTCAGAGACAGCAGGCTGGAGGCTTCTATGGCTCACGTGCACTCAGCTAATAAGCACCCTTAACAAAAACCGCATCCGTCACTTCCAGGATGGATAATTAGCAAGCAAAGGTCTAGGGCAATCTCGGAGCCCACCTGACGTGGCACTTCAGGGACTCCCACGGTTCTTTCAGGACACAGCTGGTCTCAGGGGGCCTTATCAAAGTGGCTATTACCATCTGTAATTCTGGCAGGAGATGAAATAAGTTCAGTTTCCAGGCAGGTTTAATAAAGGTTTAGAAGAGAGAAAATGAACTTTAGGTCTGCTCTTTCAAATGAGCTGGGCAGCCAGCTGCAGGTTTACAGCTGCACAGGTGAGCAGCATCCCTGCACGTGGTGGTTTCCCTCATCAGCCTTCTGTTTATCCAGATCCCCATCGGGCTTGTGCTCAACCAGCAAATGCACGTGTCATTGCATTTCAGTGGTTGGAAAAACAGCCTTGCTTCCTTAATTCTAAAGAATAAGGCTCTTAATTTAAAATATGCAAAATCTTTTCATGATTGTTGGTATTAGTATTCACACCTCAGGTAGATGATATAAAAGCCTCTTCCAGGATCTACTCAGACATTTATTAGTACGTATTTGCACTGAGGTTGCACCCAGAGACCCTCATTAAGCCTGGAGTGCCACTGTACAAGGTGCACAGCCTCATACAAACTCACATGTCCCTGGTGTCCCAGGTTTTCACCTAGAGGCCTCCTCGCGTGCTGAAGTGCCTTCCCCAAGCACACACTGCTCTGCCTGAGTTCTGGGGAGCACGCTAGCTCTTAGAGATGTTGCAGTGCCAAGCATCAGAACGCCTCAGTATTTTTGAGGATCCTATCCTTAAACACTCAGGAAATTACTGGACGTCAGTACGATTTCAGCTCCTAAATCCAAGCCCTTTCTGAGAGCGTTGCCGTATGTGACCGGACCAGCATGTTCTGAGGAGTCTTTGGCAGAGCTGGGATTTAACCCATATCCTGAATTCCAGCCTGGTGCCTTTGTCTCCAAACCATATATGTTAAATGTGCATGTCTTGCTAGTTAATTTCCTTTTAAATGTATCGCCTCTTAATCCCAGCCTTTTTACACCCATGTGCTGTAGCAAAAGTTCAAATTCCAGCATGGTTCTCCAGACCCTTTACATGGAGCAGCCAGAATGACGCCACTACGGGGTCAAAATGAGAATACTTTGCATTTATGGGTCCTATCCAGAAGGTTTCCAACAGTAGCCAAAAGGGTCTTGAAAATTCTGGTTTTCCACATCCACTTACAGACAACCTTCCCCCAACTCTGCCAAGCTGAACCAGTCCAGTACAGATGGGTCACTGAGGATACTTTCAAACGCTCAACATTTCCAGGGGAAGAGAGTCCTTCACCAAAGCATTTCAAGACTGCCTTCAAATGTTTTCAAGGACTTCAAAGGACTCTTCAGCCTAGAAAGAGAGACAACGAGGAGGGAATGTCACAGAGATCTATAAAATCACTTCTGCCACGGAGACTGTGATTGGAAATGCTCATTCACTCCACAGAAGAACTCGGAAGCAGCAAATTGTCTATTAGTGCACAAAATTAGCAGGTAGCAGGATTAAAACAAGCAAAAAGAAATATTTTTTTCCACCCACTAATTAAGCTGTGGAACTCACTGCCACAGGATGTTGTGAATGCCAGAAGCGTGGGTGGATTCAAAAAACAATCAGACGAATCAATGAAGAAAATCCATCACAAGTTATTAAACACCACGATACAATCTCTGGCCCAGGAAATCTCTAATGATCAGATCAATGGAAGCTGGAAGATCATACCAGGAAGTCTGCCATGCTTTTATAGCCCTTGCCTCTCAGCCAGTGCCGGCTACAGTTGGAGATAGAGTGGCTTCAGCTTTTGATCTTATCAGTACAGCCATCCTTATGTTCTTCAGCAGTTCTTCCCACCAGACTGACTAGTCTCAATGACAGGAGGATGGAAAATGGAGGAGTTGCTTCTCCCGCTGCTAGCCTGGGACTT